GAGTAAAGCGGCTTGCCTCAGGTGTTGGGTGAGCTTGGGTGTCTGTCATGGGGTCACCACCGGCTGTGTTGGCCGCTGCTGAGGGGGTGGAGCTATAGGTGACTTTTACTTACTCATGTTTTTCTGTGCTTTTCCAAACAGCTGTAAATTTCCATGTTTCTTTTAGAGTTTATTTTGTTTTTGCTGTTAATTTTGAAAGAATATAGGACCCAGTAAAGTCCACCTAGGTTTACGTGCACTATGTTTTTGGCATATGTGTAAGTGAGTTTACCATATTTGATACAAATTATTTACGAAGCAAATAATCACCTCTAATGTGTTCCGAATATCCAGGTTTCCACGTGTGGGGCCCTTGAAAGCGAAGTGCTGTGTGTTGGTTCCGTGCCACTTTCGCTGGTATTGGAACAGGGGAGGACAGTACAGGTGCTTGTGTGTTTCCAGAGCAGTGTCTCTTCTTAAACGCCAGCCCTCCACCATAGATAAACAAACAAATAAATGAAAAACGAATAACAAATAAAACTTGGTGTCAGAATTGCATGTGTTAACCACATCTAGCTTTCACCGTTAAGAATCTAACAAACTTCTGTGAATGAACTATTCTCACTGGCATTTGGACGTTGTAGATGAGAAAAGATTTAGCTTTGTTCTTTTCACTAAGCAAATATTTGAGGACCTCCCACTTGGGAAATAAGTTTATTAACTAAGCTTTTATTTCGAGATGTTCGGTCTTAGTCGGAGGATACTGTCAGCTATTCTTCGAGCTTCCCAACTGTATCCAGGTTTGGTCAGATCTGCTCAGACTGGTCGGTGAGTTCAGAATTTTTCCTGGAGGGGGAAAGAACTGATGACTAGATATAGCAGCTCTTAGGGGACAGTTTCCTACCTCATCTCGCTTTTCCTTCACTGTGTATTGCTGGAAAGCAGCGGGAGGCTGGGAGCAAAGAGGCTGGGGAAGAAGGCAGATGGCTGCATCCTCTCTTCGCAGCCGCGAAGGGGGAAGGGACGGAGAGGAAACCAAATGGAAAAACTATTTTTCTGAAACACTGGCCTAATAAAACTGTGGTCCAGAAATTGAGAGCAATAGACGATGACATTTAAAAAGAATGCTCTAATTTCCAGGAGAGCAGATACGAGCACCTCTTAAAAGGAGAAAAAAACGAAAACTCTATAATCTAGGACACAGAGACGAGCATCCTTCCTCTGCACTTTCATGCCCACGTTCTAACCAAGGAGGGGTTGACCCAGCAAATACGACATTCTTCAACGATGAATAACAGTTTTAAATGCCGACAAAGCTTGCAAAAGCGAGATATGCAGACTCCATTTCCTTTTAAATAATTTTACGTTGTCATCCATGTTTTCTCCCTTGTTTTTTTTCAGTCTTAGGGTATAGTGAGAATACTTTTGTTTGCTTTTTAGCTTCGATCCTGGTGATCTTCCTGGTTAGCGAGGCAAGGCTTTTCCAAGTGCCCTTGCTGTGTTCTTATCGGTACTGTAGACAGTTAGACATATTGTGCAGACTTGAAAATGTAAAGACAGTAGGATATCCATTCTCGACGTGCCTCGAAGCCTTGGCTTGGAAGTTACGTGCCCAGGGCAGTGCCTCCTTACAGCCGTGTGTCTGTGCTCGTGCACGCTGCCTCCCTCAGGCTGCTCTCTGCGGAATGGATTGCCTTTTCTAGCTCGAAAAGACGTCTATAGCTTTTGGGCCACATGGCCCTCCTCTCTGGCTCTGTCATTTTCCCCCACGGGATGAGCCCGTTTTCTGGGGTCCTGGAGCTCATCGTCAGGCACAGCATCTCCCTTTTATGGCCACGCGGACGGGTGTGGATGCACGTGCACACATGGACTCGAGAACGGCTTCTCTGGGTCATGTCCTGGGTCTGGGGACACTGCGCAGAGTGCGAATGGAGAGGCCCGTGAGTGGGTGATGCTCTGTGATTGACCGCTGGGCCGGAGGCGGGACTGGGGCGAGCGGGGCAGGAGCACCAAGGAGGACCCAGAGTGCTTCTGCTTTGGGGGGTGTTACTGGGAGATGGCATTTGAGCTCAGGAAGGCCGTTCCGGCCCAGGGCAGGGGCCCGCTTCTGTGTGGCCATTCAGCGCAGCCTGCCCGCACTGTGTGGCCGTACCGGGGGACAGCGAGCAGGCGGGAGGCCGGCCGCCAGGAAGGGGTGCTCTGATAAGGAGTTTAGAAGTGACACAGAGCGGCTGAGGATGGGGACCCCGGCGATGGTGTGGCAGACGGTCTGCAGAAGGGAGAGGCTTGGGCCGGGGAGACTGGCTCGGAGGCTCCCATGGGTCCCGCTCAGAGACCAGAGCTGGGCCTCCCAGGCGGCCGGGCTCTGATTTGGAAGTGGTGGGTTTTTTTCTCGGAGGGTGGGCGGAAGGGACAGGCTTGGAGACCTGTTAGCTCCAGAGGATGAAGAAGGACGAACCAGGGAAGACGCTCAAGTTTCCACTTGGGGAACAGTAACTCAGCGGGGAGAATACGGGAGAAGGAATACGTTTTGCAGAAAGATATGGAATTTCTTTTTGGACTTACTGAGTTTGAGGTGACTGAGGTAGAGGTGTGTAGGTGGCAGCTGGAGGTACAAGGGCACTTGTGCGTGCGTGTGTGTGTGAGAGAGAGAGGGAGAGGGACTTTCTCTGTAAAGTCGTGTTCCGGAGCCTCCTGAGGATGCCGCTCACACTGTACCGGGCTCGCCCTCGGCCTAGTGCTGTTACTTGACTTGCGTCTGAGGAAAATCAGACAGCACAGGATCCCTGCCCCTCAGCCCTCAGTCCCCCGAGGAAACCACCGCCAGCAGCTTTCGGTGTGTTCTTCCAGAAATTCCTCCGGCATGTACACAGACATCTAGGTCTGTACATCCCTAGAAAGGGTGAGTCAGACACCAGCAGAAACTCGCTACACACTGTATCAGGCATGTGACACCCCCAAACGTCGTGTCGTCGGTCCCTCTGTGTCCCCAGGGGTCAGTGCCTCCCACAGGCCAGCTACTGACTTCTGTACCTGGCGGCGTAGGTGCTCTGGCTGCCGGCTGTGTAGCCCGTCTGTCTGCGAGGATAGGTCGTTGGAGAGACGAGTTCTTTCTCTTTTTAGTGTTAGTTTTCTTTAATGAATATTTTTCAAGATTTGTTATAAAAGTATATAATGGCAGTTAACATGTATGCATTTTTCAGAGGTAGCTTGTACAAATATATACGTTTTAAAAAGTGAACCCCCAAATTCACTCACCAGATTTAATCAGCACGGTGTATAGATCCTGCTCTGTGGGGTGCCGGGAAATACACACGCACACACCCACACACGCACGCGTGCACACACTTCACACACTTTTCATGTGGGAGAAGATGAAGAAGACAGGTGGCCTATAATCTCTCCACACAGGTAATAACTGTTAGAAAAGCAGACGAACACACACTGGTGTTTTAAGAAAATTATAATGTCGCACCACGATATGAAATAAAACAGTAACGTCCCCCCAGCTCTCCCGCTGCACCCACCCCGAGGTGGTCACTGTCAGGGGTTCCCCCAGAAAACGTGTGACAGGTGGAAACACACTGTGTCTCTCGCTCTATGTGGTGTGTGTGTGTGTGTGTGTGACGTGCACGAAAGACATCCTGTTACACACATTGCGCTTTTTCTTTTAAACTTAAATCTTCGCTCTTCTGTCCGCTGACGTCACTCTGCTCCATTCCGTCTGCCGGGTTGTCACTGTCCTTTAGGGGGACGTCGGTGAGCGCTCTGTGCTATCTGACCGGCTCCCTCTGGCACTCCAGGCGGCGCTGCAGTGAGCACCCCTCCCTCGCCGTGGTCCTGGGGGATGCTAGGAGGGCATCGGTTTTTAAGCAGCTTTATAGAAGCGTCATTGACACAACGCGCCCCTCGCCCCGCGCGCTCCCACGCACCGGCTCCGGTGGCTCGCAGCATCCTTCTCCTGGCCGCCTGGCCTCCTGGCCGCCTGGCCTCCTGACCAGCCGCGGCTGTGCCAGGCTGACTCAGCTGCCATCTCCTCCCTCCGGCCACCTCCTGGCCAGCGTCCGCCAGATTAGCGGGTTCCCTCCATCCCACGCTCGCGTGCCCGTCTGCCCTGCGGCATCAAGGGCCCGCATTCCTCCTCTACCGGTCTCCGAGCGCCGAGTGGCCTTCCCGTCGCTCACCGGTGCACTGCTCGCCCGGCCGCGGTGTGCTGTGTCCGGAGCCCGCTCCTTCCCCGCCGCCGCCTCCCGGCCCCGCCCAGGCCGCAGTGGCAGGGACGTGGGCGCTGTGCTCCCCGCGTCTGGTCCGGTCTCCGCCAGCCCATCCGTACAGTCAGCAGATGACGCGTCCGAAAAGGCTGCGTTTTTGAAGTCCGTCTTTCCCTGGTCTCTCTCAGAATCCTTTAAGTGCGTGGTTTCCCGTTACATCGGGGACATGCCAACTTCTTAGCGTGCCATTTAAAGCGGCTGTCGTCGGGCGTCTCCCACTCCCCCCCTGGCAGCTCGCTGCATGGAGCCTGCTCTGCCAGCCCTGCCCTTCAGGTCTTTGCCGATGCTCACCCGCCGGCTCACTCATTTGTCACTTCATTCGCCAAGCAAACATCACGAAAGGCGTGCTGTTGCTTCTGGGAGGAGCAGAGTGCAGAGCAGTGAGAGGGCCACACCCGTGTCGCCTGGATTCTGTGTCTGCCGAGCAGCAGTGCGAAGGCGAGGCCAGTTCTCACACCCAGCAAGTGTCCGCACCGGCCGATAGTAAACGCTGCGGGAGCCGCTGCTGCGCTTAGGACCTCTGGGACGCTCTCATTTTAATATTGAATTATTTTAGCATTTTTGATTGAGTTTTGAGCATTCCCATTTTAAGTCAGCATGAGTTGCAACTTTAAAATTAAGGTAGGAATCTACGTGTGTAAAGCCATCTGCTGAGTTATAAGACGTAATTAGATGAGGTTATTTCAGGCAGCGATCTTTCCTTCAGCTGGCCCTGCCCATGTTAACGTTTCTGCTTTTCCTCTCCTTCAGTCTGCATGAAGAAATCAGTGATTTTTATGAGTACATGTCTCCGAGGCCGGAGGAGGAGAAGATGCGGATGGAGGTGGTGAGCAGGATCGAGAGCGTGATTAAGGAGCTCTGGCCCAGCGCCGACGTGAGTGCCTGTCTGGGTCGCTGGGCGCTTAGGGTGCCGTTCGGTCCCGGGGGGGTGCGTGTCGGTGTCGCATTCAGAGTCCACGTGCAGCTAATGAAATTTCAAAGGCCAACAGTTTCTTTAGCCTTTAGAATTTGGAGTTTCCTGATTACTTGTATCGAATTGGCTGATTTCAGACGATGTCTCTGCCGTACTGAAGAGCAACGAGTAAAGACAAGCTCTCTTAGGGGTCTTTAGTGTAAAGAGGAGGTCGAGCCTCCTCGTGGTCGTCGCTTACTGGACGTGCCGTGTCCAGCCCCGCCGCGCGTTGGTCCCAGCCTGCCCGTATTACTCACGTCGTCACTCGTGGTGGAGTGAAAGGTCACTAGGGCCTCCTGTGCCATCTGAGGTCCCGCGAGGCTGATGCCCGTGGCGGTCTGTCCTCCTCCCCGGGAGGTGCCGCTTTCTTCTCCGTCTGGCCCCCTCGGCCCCAGCCCGGCCCCCACCCCGGGCCCCAGACCTCGCTGCGATTTGCGGTTCTTGTCGTGGACAGAGTTAAACCTTCACCTTTTAGGGCTCCTTTGAGGGTCTCTCGTGCAGTTGTGTGCAGTCACGGAATCCACTGCTTCGTGTCACACACTTTTCCTTAGACTCTGTCGTGGGGTGGTGAGGGGAAGTCAGCGAAGTTTTTCAGTCCAATTGGCGAGACAAAGAAGCTTCAAATCAGGTGCTCTAAGTAAAGGGAAGAGGGAGGACACTGTGTCCCCAGCGGCTACATGCCACACTGTGGCCCCTATGTGACCTAACTCGGTGGCTCTCAGCGGGGGACATCTGCCCCCAGGAGGCATTTGGCACGATCAGAGACGGTTCGATTATCGTGACCGGTGAGGCGTCCTGGCACATGGTGAGTAGAGGCCATGGATGCTGCCGAACACCCCTCACAGCCGAGAGCTGTCTGCCCCGCGTGTCACTGGCGCTCCCGAGGTGGCAGCCACCGACTCGCACGCACGCGCCTGCCTGAGTCCTCTGACGGTCTCCGCGGGGAGGGCTGGGACGTGCCCAGCCCTGCGCCATAGCACGACCACACGGCCGCCGCGTGGCCTGACCCTGAGGCAGCTACTGCGAGGCCACTTGGCTTTAGAGAACACAAATTAGGGGCCGGTGATCATGAAGGAACGTTAGGGACCTGCCGGTTACTTTGGAAGTTCTCTCTTTCAGTCCGTGCGTTTGATATTGGAACCTAATATGTTTAACCTGTATTCCAGTGAGTCTGTGGATCACACAGCATCCCTGATCCGCCGGAGCAGGCGGTAGAGACATGCTCATGCAGTACTAACAAGTGCCAGTAGAGGGCAGCAGAAACCAGCACTTCACCGTACCTCGGTGGCTTTTCATCTGATACCTCTTAATGTAATAATTGTTTCTATTTCAGGTCCAGATATTTGGGAGTTTCAAAACTGGCCTGTATTTACCTACTAGGTTAGTATGGTTATGAAGCTTTCAAGGGGTGGCGCATTTTTCTAGAGTATATTTATTTTGGCTGTTGAAGGTGTAAGAGTAGAAATGAAACAGATCTATGAAACAGAAATTCACTTACCTGTGCTTTGTTTGAACTGCCTCGACGTAGAATGTCACTCCAGATCATCTTATCAAACAGATGACATCTGGATCATCTCAGATGGGTTAAAAGGGAGCGTGGAGCAGTGCAGTCGCTCACCAGTGAGCAGTGGACTACCCTGCAGAGAACACGTCAGCCCCACACCTTAACCTGCTCTCAGAGGTGTCGGTGGACATTGTGGAGAAACACCTGCTTTCACTGCGGAGCCGTGCGTGCTCCGGACCTCTAGGCGTCTCCTTTTTTCCTGAGAACTCATAGCGTTAGCCTCTGCAGCATCCTGACCCAGACGTTCAGGGCACAGACTCTTCCTGAGGAAGGTCGTGGACTGTTCAGGCCCCTCGTTTCTTTCACTCTTGCAAATGAGGGCTTTCTTGGCCCACAGCCTGGGCGGGGGCCTTTTGGGGGATAGGAAGGCTTCCTCGAGGGGCGAATGAATACCTGTTCTCTAAGAACTAAGATGCTGCAGTCTTCGTGAAGGAAAAACATTCCATCATGATGGTGTTTTTATTTCTATTGTGGTAAGAACACTTAACATGGGATTTACCCTGTTAACAGATTTTAGGTGCACGTTACAGTTTGATTAACTATAAGCATCCTGTAAATGTTTTGATTTGAGCTTAACTTGGTCTTTACCCAAACCTAGGATGCGTTGAGGTGGATGGGTCCTGGCGATTTCCATTCTTCTCATTGCCGTCCTAAGCGTAGAGAAGCCATGAAATATTCAACTTCGAATTCATTAATATTTTTCCTTATTTAGGTTCTGAGCTTTAGCAAAGTCCTGAGTCACTCTTTCTAAAAATATTAATTAAATTTTATGACTAGGTAGTACATCCACATAATTCAGGTCTGAAAAGGGCACAGAAATAATCACAGCGAAAAGTCTGGATTTGACCTTTGTCCTCCCCGCTCCCCACCAGAGGCCACTGTTACAGTTTCTTGCATATCTTTCCAGAGAAATTCTGTACATACGAAAGGAAATGTGTGTGCAGGTGTGTTTTCATGCCCTATTTTACACAAATGGTAGCAAACTAGATACACTGTCTGCATCTTGTTTTTACACTGAATGGTCTAAGTAACAGTATCTCATCAACATCGAGAGTGTTTTAGTACCAGAAACAGGTATGAACAGGGAACGTTCACTGGTATTTTTTGAGGTTTTACTTCGCTTCCTGAGGCCTGACTTGCGTGCAGTGACTGTGAGGAGGAGGTCATTAAAATCACCGACCTCCTCTTGGCCTCTGCAAAGCAGTCCCCGCCAGCACAGTCGGTCTCGGTTGTCGGGGGCGGGGTGAGAGGTGGGTGCTCGTCTCACTGGTTTGATGTGTGTCAGCGCAAATGTGAGTTGAAACAAAACAAGGACCGTTTCTTGCTTCTTCAAACACCTCGGGCGTGTGTTCTGTGTCCAGTGACATCGACCTCGTGGTGTTCGGGAAGTGGGAGAACCTGCCCCTCTGGACGCTGGAAGAGGCGCTTCGGAAGCACAAGGTCGCAGACGAGGACTCGGTGAAGGTTCTGGACAAAGCGACTGTGAGTTCTTCGGCATTTCATCGTAACGTGTCGAGTTCCTTATGCACGAAACCTATAAAATTACGATTGCATTTCGGCCAGCTCAGGCGGGCTGTGCGCGAAGCTTCCTCTGGGAATCATCACAGCGCTTGTGCAGAGAGTTGTGTTTGAGGAACACATGGGCCTGCTCTGGTGTGCGTCCCTCCCCGGAGTGACAGTGTCAGCGTGCGTGGTGCTCACAGCGGAGGTTTTGTAATGGAGAAAAGTGCGCGTGAAAACATGGATGTCTGTGGATGTCTGTATCATCACGGTTGGTGGTGACACAGAAGATGTTGCTCTTTGTGTCCTTGATGAATTGCGTATAATCGACATTTTGTAAATCAAGTCATATTTTAATGGTATCTGGAATGGCTGTTGAAGAACTTCCATGGAAACTCAAAATATATCTATTTAAGAAGTTTGGGTTTTTGCATATTAGTTTTCTTGAAGCAAAGCAACCAGTATCGTTTCTTATAAAAAGCTATTAATGAGCAAACCCGGTCCCGCACGCAGAGTTTGCTGGCCTGAGTTTTCTCATGCGCGGTGCAAATGGACTTCTTTTTTTTTAAAGAATTCCTAATCTCATATAAATCATTCTATCATTTTTTTACTTGGAAATAAATCTTACATTCAATCCTCTCTTGTTAGGTTGTTTTGGGGGCTCTTTGCAAAACTGCCCCATAATGCCAGTGGGTCGTGTGTGCGACTTAAGCATCCAGCTGTCTTCTCACTGGCGACGGTTTGGGGATGTGGTCGAGGTTCATAATTCTTGACGTGGTATCAAGTTGGCAACTGTTCTCCAAAGTATATGATGTCGAGAAAGGTTTCTGGTACTTGCTTTCAAAATTCTCAACCCGTAGAAATTATAAAATATATAGTATGAGGTTAAATGCTAACTATGTGATGGAAAATGTGTAGAACTCCCAGCTAGCTGTGGTTTGTAATATTCAGAACAGCAGGTTTTAGGTCCTCGTGGGGAGGCCAGGACCTTCCATCCCTGACTTTGTCTTTTAATTTGGTTTAAGTATTTTAATTTCACCTTTCTTTTCCTTCTAGGTACCTATTATTAAATTAACAGATTCTTTTACTGAGGTGAAAGTCGACATCAGCTTTAATGTACAAAACGGCGTGAGGGCAGCTGACCTCATCAAAGATTTTACCAAGGTCCGAGGACTTACCGTGTGTATTCAGTGAAAGCGATAGAAACGGAGTTTGGCCTTGAGATTCTGTTGTTTTCTGATATACTTTATTAACTATTTCTGTGTGTGTATTGCTGACAAACTTTTCTGTGCAATGGGTTTACTTTCCTTGAATCTACTTGTACTAATTACTAATTTATAATGAGGCTTCAAGTGAGAATTAACGGTTGAGAAAGCTTCTGGAGAACTCTTCAGCCCTTAGCTGAAACCGTGCTTACAGTTGATGCCTGTCTGCTTTGAATCTCCCACAGTTCAGATCGAGGACCTCCCTAGCGGGCCTTTTCTAGATTAAGCCCCAAGTCAGCCTGTACGGTGGTTCTGGGGCTTCTCTCACTGTATCTCATCGTGATTTAAGGCTGTGGAAGCCAGCAGGTGGCGCTCTTCCCGCTCCAGAGACCCTGGTTGGTTTACCTGGTGGAGTGCCACCTACCTGCGATAGACGATTCTTTAAAATCCCACTGATTGAGTGCCGTAAGAAATGAGACTTTGTCCTGTACTGTTTCTGTTACCTGTTTACAAACGAATGTCCTACGGTAATGGCGTAAATGAGTGTCATCAAACGTATATTACTAGTGAGTGCTCAAGGGCCATTATTTACATCTACACATTTAAAATTTTAGATGTGAGTGAAAATTCCTTAATTGCTTATAGCTTACTTTTCTATGTATTGCTCTTAAAATAGGAAATTAAGTTTGTAATGTAAGGACCAGTTTATGCTTAGAGATCATTACATCGTTAATGTTTGGAGCTGTTACTAATAGAGGAATCATTAAAATACAATTTTTTTCTTTTTTCAGAAATATCCTGTATTACCATACTTGGTTTTAGTATTGAAACAATTCTTATTACAGAGAGACCTTAATGAAGTATTTACAGGTGGAATTGGTTCTTATAGTCTCTTTTTAATGGCAGTCAGCTTCCTTCAGGTAAGTTGTGTGGCTGTACCATGCTAGCTAGTATGCGCTGAAGCTTAAAGAAATCAATCCGTTGAGGAATCATTTTGGAAAAAATTTCTATCAAGCTCCTAATTGCGATGTTTCCCTAGATTACTTATGACTATTGCCTTTAAACTAGGTACCTTTTTTATAACTTAACAAATAAGTATTTAAAAATCCCTAGGAAAGAATATATACATATATATTTTTTAATCCCATATGTTCTACTATTTTTTGAGACTTGTCACTGCAGATTTTAACATGCAAAGAAGGTATGGCGTGCTTTCCAGAAGTGTAAATAGTAGTAAAATGCCAAAAATAAAAACAACATCTAAGCAGCTAATTTGAAGGTTTAGTGGGGATGGAGACCTGCCCCTTGTGAGGAGTGAGAAGCCTTAGGATTGTCGTGAGTGTATTTATGTGGCACATCGTCACCGGCCGCCTGGTTCTGATCGTGGGTCAGAGTGTTGGGCTCTTGTGTGTTGGGCCAGCGGCCTTGTCAGCAGCCTGGGGCCGCTGTAACCTTTGGCCGGATGAGTCGCCCCCAGCCAGTGCTGCTCCTGTGGGACTTGGCGTCGTCTCTGCCGTGCGTACAGCGTGCTGTTGCCCCGGTGCCTACCGACCGCTGTGCAAACCAAACCTTCCAGAAGTTAGGATGTCGTTCATTATCCCCACCTTGATAATTTAGAGAAAATCCAATATAATTCCTTTTTTTTCTTCTGGTTTTAGTTACATCCCAGAGAAGATGCTTGCATCCCCAACACGAACTATGGTGTTCTCTTAATAGAATTTTTTGAATTATATGGGCGACACTTCAATTATTTAAAGACTGGCATCCGAATAAAGGATGGTGGTTCCTACGTGGCCAAAGATGAAGTACAGAAAAATATGCTGGACGGCTACAGGCCGTCCATGCTTTATATTGAAGACCCTCTCCAACCAGGTATTGAAATTAGGTAAATTTGTGGGCATTCAAAGAAAGGCCGTTGGCCGTCACCATATTGTGCTTGGAACTCCCCTGAGGTGAAAACATTAAGGATTAACTCCTAATCATAGTCATTTTTTTTTCCATCAAAATATTTTATAAGCAAACACACACACCAGAACAACACGTTGCATACTTCCAGACGAGCTGGGAGGAGCATCACTTTGAGTCTTAAAGGCAGAGGAGAGCAGGTATTAGCTACTCGGGTGGGTTTGCGTGCATCTCGTCTGATGGCCGTTTTCCTTTTCTCTGGGTGTCCTCATTGCCACTGGTCCAGCCAGTGGCCAGCAGGGCTTCCTGAAGTGGCCAGCACAGAAATAGCCTCAGAGGCCCGAGCGGAAGGGTTCAGAGGGGGCGTGTGCGCCCCTTGGCCTCCCGTCCTCTTGAATCTTGCATGGTCTCCCTGTGCTTCCTCCAGCGTTATGTTGTCTGGAAAGTGAATCCCGTCCATGCTTCATGAAGTTCTGTTTGCTCGCTTGTATCCTGGTTTTTCTGGGCAATATTTTTTTCCTGATAGGACTGTAAAATGTTTAGAGTCCGCATTATTGGACTTTAGTCACCTGCTCTAATGTGTTAGCTTTGAAAACATGACAGAGAGGGACGAAGCGGTCCGGTCGCTGCCTGGGCACCCCCTTCCGGCGCGTCCAGCCGACTTGTCAACATCGATAGCTGTGTGTGGTTTTTCAGTGAGGGAGCGGCCATGGGGAGCCTGCGCTACGAAGGGACACACAGGTCTTTTAGCAAGGTGGCCCTTGCTTTTTAGGAGCTTATAATTTGGTGTGGGTGGCACTTACGCGTCGAACAGAAATAAAACTAAGTGTTTTTGACTGAGCTTGATTGTGCGTGAGGCATCCCCGTCAGGCTAGAACACCCGCAGGCGACTCAGATGCGTTAGAGCCTCCTGACTTCAGGGTGCACATGCTCGGAGCCCCGGGGAGGGGGGCCTGGGGACGATGGCGATCGCCCCTCTTCCCCAGAGGGCGCTCATGGGCTCACGCTCAGCAGCGGTCCAGTTTCTCCATCTTCTGCGTGCGCTTCCTTTCAAGGGAACGACGTTGGCAGGAGCTCGTACGGGGCCATGCAGGTGAAGCAGGCCTTTGACTACGCCTACGTCGTTCTGAGCCATGCCGTGTCACCCATCGCGAAGTACTACCCCAACAACGAGACGGAGAGGTGAGTCCCGCTGGAGCCGGCCCCTCACGTCGGAGCTGCTCGTGGCTCCTTCGAGTCGAATTAATGGACCCCTCTCTTTTCTTAAACACGTGCAGCATATTAGGCAGAATAATCAGAGTGACGGACGAAGTCGCCACGTACAGAGATTGGATATCCAAGCAGTGGGGCCTGCAGCACAGGCCCGAGCCCTCGTGCAACGGTAAGCGCTGCTCTGCTGGCGGGGGGCGTTCGAGGCTTTTCTGTGCTGTGTGTGTTTAATGGGAAGAAACGTTTTCCAATCTTTTGCCACTCTTTCAGGAAATGGTGTTACCTTGATAGTAGACACTCAGCAGTTAGATCAGTGTAATAATAACCTATCTGAAGAAAATGACGCCCTGGGAAAATGTAGAAGTAAAACCTCGGAGTCTCTTAGTAAACACTCTTCAAACTCTTCATCAGGTCCCGTGTCTTCCTCTTCTGCCACACAGTCCAGCTCTAGCGACGTCGTAAGTATGAAGACATGGCTTTTCCCAGTAACTTTAACGATCGTACTTTTTTTCAACATCGTAGTAAGATTGTCAGGCATGTGGAAAAAGCGGAAGGGTTTTAGTGAACACCCACCTGTGCCACCACTGGAATCTGTCACCACGTCTGACCTGCCACCCGTCCCTCCATCCGTTCATTCATCTTATTCTTTGGTACACTTCAGTCATCGTAGGCGTTGGGACACGTCGCCCAAAGTACTGTAGCTTGCTCGTCACCAGCCAGGCGCAGTGTTTGTCTGTTTTTTTCCTTTTGATATTAGTTGTACATTCACTAAATTTTAGCAAATTCATACACGAGGGACTCAAAACCTAGCAAGATGTAGACCATCGCCACCATCCCTGAACATCCCCTCCACGTGCTTTCTGGCTGGCCGTTCCCCGGCCTGCCCTCAGGGGTGGCCACTGCCGCCATGTCCTGATGCAATAGATTAGTTTCTTCTGTTCTGGAATGTCCCATGAGTGGCCTCATTGTCGTGTATACTCTTGTGTGAGGTTTCTTCCACTCGACAATGTTTTTGAGCTTCTTGATTTAATTTCTAAACATCGAGATAGGAGAAAGTTTACCATTTAAACGCAGAATTCATTGGTTTTGGCATATTCACAATGTTGTACGGCCATCACCACCGTCTGATTCCGGGACGTTTCCATCACCCCGGAAAGAAACCTGTGGCCATCCCTGCCGCGTCCTCTCCTGCCCCCCGCAGCCCCCCGTGTGCTCTCTGTCCCTGTGCCCATCGAGTTTTCAGTATCGGTTACACCTAGAGTTGCTTTTCCTCGTCGGGGTTAATTCCCAGTTTACTTAATTGACATCGAAAGTGGGCTTACCCATTATTTGCATTTTGACTTTATTAAGTATACGATATAAAAAGTTACCTAAATGTGGAAAGGACATAATTTTGTCGACAACGACCATGAGTCCTGTCGGAGTCTCGGACCCTCACACGCGGAACCAAGCCGTGGGCCCCTTTGGGTCCTGGAGCAGAGCCGTGTCCACGGCCTGCTCGGCGGGAGGGCCCCTTGCGTTGTCATCGCAGGTCCCAGGCCGAGCCTCGTAAAGCGCTCTTTTTGTGTTTGGTCGAAGACACTGAGTCCGGGACGGGGACCTGAGTGCTCACTCCACACCAGGCTCCTCCCACTGTACCGCGGTCACTGTAGACAAACGCAGATAAACTTGGCCTCCGTGAGCTCCCTCAGGGCCAGTTAACGAGGCCGGGTGGGCATGGACTTGACAGTGAGCGGAAACCCCCTGGTAGAACGAGCCACCGTGAGTGCCGGGGGGAAAGCCTAAGCCACGGGCTCCGACCCCGCTGCGGGCCCCTCAGCTCCCGGGCGCGTCCCTCCGGCCCGGCGAGCACGTGGCTGGACTCGTTTCCTCTAAGCTTCCTCGATTCTTAGCATTTCACCTTGTGACTCCTGTGGCTTGTGTTAGGACTCCGATGCGACACCATGCAAAACCCCGAAACAGCTGCTCTGCCGGCCGTCCCCTGGGACCCGAGCGGGGCCGCCGGGTGTGGCCGTGGAGTCATCGCAGGCAGGCGGGAAAATGCAGAGCACCCAGACCGCCAGCTCGTCCGGCAGCAGCAGCAAACCGCAGGTGTGGACCTGGTGTCGTTGGTTGTTATCGTTCAGAACAAAATGTCTAGAATTTCTTCCATGTCAGTTATATGTATGTATCACGGGAAGAGAGAGGACTGTAGGTCGGAGAA